TTCAATTCTGGACAAGAACAAGGCAAATGTTACCTGGGAACGTCATTTTTTTTTTGAGATCAGATGGGCTTTTAGATAGCTTCAAGATCGCCAAATCCTTCAGAAGAATTAAAAAGAAAAGGCTAAATTCTAAACTAATGAATTTCTTGAAAGACATTGCCATAAACAAAAACTTGATCTACTACTACCTCCAATGTCTAATGTGATACAGAAATTGCTGCTAGCGAGCTAGCGAGCATCTTCGTAACTTTTGGCACTGCTTTCATTTGCCAATGTTTGGAACACTTACTAGGATAAGATCCTTGTACTCATTTTGAGTCTGAATTTATAGCGCTAGTTGTCTTGACCCTCGTGTTATCATCAAGGCATAATAATTATTTAAGATAGATAAATTAAAAATGCAGATGCTGAAAATTTGTAAGACCGAATGTCAACTTTTAAACATGGGTAATTATATTCACATCACAATTTATATTCTTTACATCACATTGTAATTACATTTAAAGTTATTATCGTTACTCATTATAGCACTTGTGTCCTTGACGATTTTCCATGTCATTCTTACCCTCAAATATTCGTTAGTGCAAAAAAAGCTTTTTTTTTATCACATTTTAAAAAAAATAAATAAATGAGATGTCACACAAATGAGGATTACAAAATCCACAATTTAAGAATTGAAATTGGCTGGTGAAGACTAAACATATGGAGTTCTTGGATCAATTGAGGAAAAATTGACTTCAATATCTGTGCTCCATCTTCTCCTCTTCCTGGTACCACTGCACATACCTGCAGACACGAACAACAGTGAGAGAGCAAATCTCAACATATTATTCCTAAATTATCACCCACAACAGCATTCTAAATAAAAAACAATGGCCTGGCCAATCCTCTACTGTCCAAAGTATAACTGAAATGCATTCAACTAGTATATTATTTTATTAATAACTGTAAGAAAGGAAATGTTAGTACATTGAACAGTAAGTCGACACAAATTATTCAAATACAAGCAAGTGTCCTTGTGTAAAGTTAGAGTACTGCTGACAACAGTCACAGGAAAAATCAATAAGCATGAACAATTCTCAAAAAGAGTGCTGCTAGAGTAAGAGAAGCAATCATTTATAGTGCCAGCTGCTGTCCAGTTACCATAGACATGGGATCCTAATTCAGAGTCCATAAAGGAAGAAAATTACCATGAACTTAGGATTTTTTTTTTTTTTTTTGGCGATTTAAATAATGATAAAATGGATGCCAGAAATGATTCAGGGAGCCAACTCTAAATTTAATGGGAATGACGCTTATTTTGTTATTGTCGTTGTTTGTTATAATGTAGACATAGGCAGCAATATAATTCCACTGCACTTCATTTCATTATAAGAAGACTTAGTGATTCTTAACTAAATTGGACCAGGTAGTTTTGCGATTAAATTGCATAATTTTCACTAGTCACTATGGAAGATTTGATTATTTAGACCCTGTTTGACATCCATTCTCATTCTCATTTTTTTCTCTTTCTTCATTTCAACCACATATTCTCCAAATAAAATAATATTATACACAAATCTAAAATTTCTCATTACTTTTCAACCACACATTCTTCCATCAATCATTATTCCAAAATTCATTTTTTTCCCCAAATGGGTGTCAAACACGAGCACAAACAAAGATTTTGAACAAATAAATCATGGCGTAGTTGTATAGGCGCAGAAAAAATTTATTAGTCGTGGATTTTCTTCATAACAACAGGATATCTTCTAAGTGTTACAGATTTTCCAAGTCCTTCATAAATCATTGGATATGTCAAACCATTTCACTTAGCCTATGTTTGGCTAATGTTTATAAACAGTCATATCCAAACACTTTCAAGGGTCCTACAAGTAGTATCCACTTATCTATCTATCTATCTATCTATCTCAAGCATGTAAGATCAGTCACTAGTTCTTATGACTCTGTTACCGACCCTTCAATTTTGAACCCATTATCTAGGAATATGACAAGATCTGGAAAATTTAAAAGAGAAGTATATTCTCTCAATCGATATCAAGCATTTACTGCACATCACCAGCCTGTATGCTTCTCGCTTGTAATGGTTGAAAGCTTGGAGATAATTTTCCAACAGGTCTGGAACCATGTATTGTAAAAGAACTCGAAATTTTGTCTGAGGTATTTCTACACCAGGAAAATTCTCTCATATATATGAGCATTTTTATAATACTTTTCTCAAGGTGAGACAATTTGCAATTTGCCTAAAAAGCACTGGATTTTCACTTCACACTACATCAAACACAAATTGGATCAATGCGTTTTTAGTCATATTACCATAACACTGTGTTACTGAGGCAATATTTCAAAGTAATTAGCTTCAAAATTCTTATATAATATCATTTTGATATAATCTGAATAAAAATTATATTTATCCATTGGAAATTTGAAGTCATTCACTGACACACACATACACAAACACCAAAACAATACAAAACTTTGTTTCTCTTCTTCAGTTCACAACCATAATCCGTAATTGAAAAGTCCCACAATTTAATGAATCATTTTAGAAATAGGAAACACTTAGGATTTGATCCATATATGTTTTAAACAAATAATTTCATAAATAAACATATCATAGAGATAGAGACAGAGATTGAACTCACGAGTAGGTTCCGACGAGAGGACCGAGGAGGAGGGTGGCGCTGATCCAATTCTCAGAGATCTTGTGACTAATCTTGCCAGTCAGATCCTTCCAGAGACCCGGCATCACCTTCTGCTGGAAAGGCGATAACGCGTACACCACTGCCTTCATCCTCACAGGCTGCTTACCCATTTCTCTTTATCTCGAAGCAACAGTAAATAGGGTTTGATGAAATTTTAGGCAAAACTAGGGGTGTCCAAAAGTTTCGAACCGAACCGAAGCCGATCCGAACAGAATCGAATCGAGCGTTTCTTCATAAATTAAATATCCGAACGGGTACTCGAATCGAGAACCGATGGGTTTAGTTTGGGTCGGGTCTCGAGTCTAGACTAAGAACCGAAGAACCGAATAAGAATCGAAACTAAATAATTTTTTTATTTTTTATATTGAATTAATTAAATTATTTTATTTTTTTCTATACAAATTAGCAAATTAATTAAATAAATCAGATTATTTCATAATTTTAATTTTAAAGCCCAAATCA